GCTCCCACTTAAATATTTTCTGGAACTAGACATTTTAATATCTAACTTTCACAATTAACTTTACTTAGCCACCATTTACAGATTGTATAAAACATCAAACACGAAAAATCAAAGATATAAGCGATCAATTGTCAAAACAAACACACAAGTATTACGCAGTCAGTAGAGCCCTCATAGAAATATCAAATCCAGGATTCCCTTATAATAGTGCGGCACGGCAGCGCCACGAAAAAAGTACTTTTACTCGGGGGCCCGTGGCATTTCCGTTATGCATTTTGCTCGACTTTTATCAACTCGTTGCAATTTTAGATATTAAAAAGTTATTTCTATAAAGATCGGACTACTACTACATGTAGCAGCCAAGAAAATTGGAAAATAATTGAATTTTCGCTTAAGGCTGGTTCTCAGCTTGGGGGGAAATTTTTGGCTTATCGTATAGATCTATGTTCCGAAAATGTTCTCAAAAAATTACAGTTCAAAATTCGAAAAATTACAAGAGTTACAAGCCATTACATAGAGCACATGTCGAGCACCGACTTTTTGAAGCCAAAACTTTAAACGCGTTTATCTCGGAACTACGTTTTCGGGCCTTACGGAAGTGATTGAAGGCGTTGGGGTTAACCAATCGTCATAAAATTTTTTTTAAATGTTCCCAATTGTTTTCTTTAACTATGAACTAGGATTATCCAAAAAAAAAATTGAAAACTGTTTATTTGAGAAAATAATTAGTGACAAAAAAAAGCGCGGAAATCGAAATTTTAATTTTTTTTTTCTGATCCTAGTTCATGTTATGCACAGTACTGTGCACTTTAAGAATCTTTTCGGTTTTTGTGTTTCCGATTACCCGTTTTGGCTGAATCACTTCCGCCAGCGGGACACCTTTTCGCCGACATGCTGCCTCTGAGGAACGCGCCCTCCCGCCCCTTTTTTTTAAATTTTTTCAATTTCGAAACTTTTTTTTGAAAAACAAATATTTTTTCAAATACAGTTAAAAATTTCCGCTTTTTATCTTTAACCGTTTTCTCAAAAAAATTTTTTTTTTTTTAAAGTGCCATTTTTCGGCCTTTAAGGTGAGAACCTGCCTTAAGGGGGTCTTCCTATGTGATGGGTTGAAAAAATCGATTTTTTTTTTTTCATAAATTGCTCCCTTAACATGTCTAGAATACGGTAGTAAAGCGATTTTAGAAAATTCGAAGTCGTTTTAAAGATACAGCAGGTAAAAGAAAGAGCGGTTCGGAGCGCTGAGTTGGCAGTTAGAAACTTTAAACGCGTTTTTCTCAAAACTGTGTTTTTCAAACTGTCCTCCATTGTATCTCAGAAACGGCTGGACCGAATTACTTGCAATTTAGAGGGCACACTCAATATATGTAAACGCATGGAATGAACTATTATCAATCGAAAATTTTCAAAACTTCAATTTTTTTATAGCAAAAAAAAAAAAAAAAAAAAAAAAAACGCCTAATTTGCAACTTTTATTTCAAATGTCTATCAAAAATCCAATCCAAAAAATTAAAACGCCGTTTATTTTTTTTTTTTCAGATAAGCCGATCAGCCGGAATCGTGGAGGAAGTGGGAGCTCTTTTTTCGAGGCGGGGTGTTCAGAGCGCTGTAACTCTAGTTTGACTGAATATTTTTAGCTGAAATTTTTTATTTATACTGTCCAATGATAAAAAAAACTTGAAGCTCTAAATATTTACTGGTCGTAGAAAAAAAATCCTAAAATATCCCTAAAAAACAGGCCGTCACATAGGAAGACCCCCTTAACTAGAAAAGTGCAATAACACAACAATTAACAATAGGGATATACACGCATTGGCACCCCAAATTTGCTATCCGATTTACTAATTTTCTTTAATTTATCTGAATAATCCTATAGCCGGTATATAATACAATCTTTCGATTTCAACTATGTACTGTATGTACTTCGTACTTCAAGAGTCGGATCAGGCGACTTTATCATAAGTTATAATAAGGATACAAAATAAGGGGAAAAATTATAACGCTGTAACTCACAAGGGATGTTTTAAATTTGTTTCACTATTTAGAATAGATTTTTATACCCTTGCAGAGCAAAGGGTATTATAATTTTAGTCAGAAGTTTGCAACGCAGTGAAGGAAACACCTCAGACCGCATAAAGTATATATATTACTATTGAATTTCGGATTAATTTTTATTAAAATCGGATAGATCTATCATATAGCTGTCATAGGAAAGACCAAAAAATATATATGTATATAAATAATGGAAAAAAAATTATTATGTCGTTTTTAATTCCATGAGCATGATTTTGAGAACCTTAAGTTTTTTAAATACGCATAAATCGAGAAAAAAAAATTCATAACAAGAAAGGAAGCTAGCTTCGGCAAGCCGAAGCTTACATACCCTTGCAGTCATCAAATATGTCGAACAAAATGCATAAAGGCTAAACAACATCGAAGCTTAGACGATTTTTCTATTCATTTTCTATATTTTCGACTTAGATCATATGGGAGCTATATGATATAGTTGTTTGATTTTGATCAAATTTAATTAGTAATTCAAGATTTGTTAGAAAACTTTATATTCCAAAAATCATGCTTATCTAATAAAACACAACGATGTTATCATTATATTTCCGTTATTTCTTTATAGATTTTTCGATCTTTCCTATGGTAGCTATAAGATATAGCTGTCCGATTTTTATGAAACTTTTTTCTCAATATTAGGGTTTTTAAAAAACTTGATATTTAAAAAATCGTGCTCGTGGGATAAAATAAAATTGATAAAATTTAATCCGAAATTCAATAGTAGTTAGAAAATGCCATATGGAAGAAATCGATCTGATAAAAAACAACGGCGTAAGATTTTTTTATTTCTTTCTCTTGTATTGGAGCTATCCGATATAGTCGGCCGATCCGGCCCGATCCGACTTATATACTGCGTGCAATAGCTACACAACTTTTGGGAAAGTTTCAGCAAGATAGCTTTAAAACTGAGAGACTAGTTTACATAGAAACAGACAGACGGACAGACAGACAGACGGACAGACTGCCAGACGTACAGACGTACAGACGTATTCCGACTCTGCTCGTGATGCTGATCAAGAATATATATACTTTATGGGGTCTAAGGTGTCTCCTTCACTGCGTTGCAAACTTCTGACTGAAATTATAATACCCTTTTGCTCTGCAAGGGTATAAAAATCGGACTACTATATCATAGGGGAGAGTGGTGATGAACCACTAGTAATATTTCACCTTCTATCAGGATTTTGTGCACCATCTTCATATGTGTTGTTTATCCAGTCGGTATCTTAACATCACACGTACGCGTGATCGCGTCACAATTGCTGTCATTTCTATCACTAATCCAAGTTTTTGTGCGCCTTTCGCAGCTATTTGCGACCTGACGTTTTCTTGGGAAAAATTTATTGTGCTCCGCCTGTGGCATTGAACTCTAGAAAATTTTTTGTTAACTTAAATAGACGCAAATTATGTTTTTTTTACGTATATCTCACGCATTTCAAAATATTCCATTAGCCTGAAAGCTGGTTTAACTATGTTTGTGGGGTGGTTCAAGTATCCCCACCCGTGGGGGTGGGTTCAAGGAAGCTAGCTTCGGCAAGCCGAAGCTTATATACCCTTGCAGTTTTAAAATATTTCGAACAAAATACATAAAGGCTAAACAACATCTAAGCTATGATGATTTTTCTATTAATTTTGCATATTTTCAACTATTGTTTAGACAGCTATATGATATAGTCGTCCGATTTCGATTAAATTTTATTTGTTATTCAAGAGTCGTTAGAAAACTCTTTATTCCAAAAATTATCTGATGAAAACCAACGATGTTATCATTTTATATCCGTTAATTCTATATAAATTTTTCGATCTTTCCTATGGCAGCTATATGACATAGTTGTCCGATTTTTGTGAAATTTTTTTTATAAATTCAAGACTGATTAGAAAACTCTATATTCCAAAAATCATGATTGTCCAATTAAAAACAACGATGTTATCATTTTATTTCCGTTAATGCTATATGGATTTTTCGATCTTCCCTATGGCAGCTATATGATATAGTTGTTCGAATTTAATGAAATTTTTTCTCGGTTCAAGGGTAGTTAAAAAGTCAATATTGTAAAAATCATGGTTGTGGAATAAAAAACAATGACGTTATAATTTTTTCCATTATTTTTATATATGTATATTTTTTTGATCTCTCCTATGGCAGCTATATGATAGAGTTATCCGATTTCGATAAAATTTAAACCGAAATTCAATAGTAGTTACAAAACGCCATCTGGAAGAAATCAAGTCGATCTGATCAAAAACAACGGAGTGAGATTTTTTTTTCAATCTCTCGTATGGGAGCTATCCGATATAGTCGGCCGATCCGGCCCGTTCCGACTTATATACTGCGTGCAATAACTACACAACTTTTGAAAAGTTTCAGCAAGATAGCTTCAAAACTGAGAGACTAGTTTACATAGAAACAGACAGACGGACAGACAGACGGACGGATTTCGATTCAGATCGTGATGCTGATCAAGAATATATATACTTTATAGGGTCTGAGGTGCCTCCTTCAATGCGTTGCAAACTTCTGATTGAAATTATAATACCCTTTGCTCTGCAAGGGTATAAAAAATAATGTTAGTGTGGCAAAAAACAACTACATTTTTATATCCTTGCAGAGCAATATCCGCACATTTTTGATCTATATTACTCCGTGCAATAACTACATAAATTTGGGTAAAGTTTCCGCGAGATAGCTTTAAAACTCAGGGTCTAGTTTACATAAAAACAGTAAGACGGACAGACGTGCACGTTTAGATCGATTCAGATGGTAATGCCTATTGAGAATATAGGGTCTAAGGTGTTTTCTTCAATGAATTGCAAACATCTGACTATAGTTTAACACAAACAATCGTTGCAAATACGATTGCAAATCAATTGCATTTATAAATATATATATATTTTTTTTTAATTTGTCGAAACCATATTACTGTTATACATACCTGAGTCAAAATTAGGAGATTCACTGTCGTCTAATATTTCAATTATTTGATCCATATTGCGCATAAATTGTTGATATGTCTGCGAACGAACCACTTCATCCTTTAAACATTTTGTGTTCAATATAGGCATAATTCTCTCGACCCGACGCATTTTCGGCTTAGAGACTATATATTTATAATGAAATATAAAAATGTACTTTTTTACATGTGTGCTTGTAGTTAAACTTTATTTTACTTACATATTTGTTCCGGTGGAATGTCTCCAATTGATATGGCCAGTTTTCGTTTTCCAGAAAATCGTTTTTCGTCGGCTTTTATAGTCGAAAACGTATCAATTGGAATGCTTTGTATGTCAGAAACAGTTCTACCAGACCCGCTCTCTGTTAGTGATACTGCAGCTATGGCCAGCATATTTTTGTTTTCATGTTGTTGCTGAGCCGGTTCTTGTAGTAACCCCATACTTCTAGCCAATTCTGGTGACTTTTGTACAAACTTTTTAATACTTTGTTGCATAAGAAGAGTATCCTCAACATTAAGACGATTTATACATACCCGAACCTGAGATTTGCCACTTGATGAAGTGGAGGTCGATGTAGCTGTTGACGCTTGATGGTTTTGTTGAAGTTCTGAACTTTGTGTAAGGCTACTTTTATTTATAACAAGTGGATTTGAACTTTCTGGCAACTGTTGCGGGTTCGAAGTGGAGGCGTTATTGGCTTGTATTGGCGATTTTTTGTTTACATATTGTAATGAAGTGTTTTGTAATTTAGTGTTTTCTGTTACAATTATTGGTTGACTTTGTAAACATATTTCATTTCGATTGTTTTCAGAATCTATATCAAAATTTAACGGCTCTAAGGCATGTGAAAAAATATCAGATATGTTTTCAGTGGGTTGACAATAGCCTGTTGATGTATTATTATATTCATACTTGGAATCCAAATTAAGATCTTTATGGTTGACTAAATATTGTTCTTGTGCCATAGATTGGGTTAGATTTGCGCCTGTGTTTAAAGTTTCAATTTTAATATTTGATGTTAAAATCTTATTCTGATTTTGTTCAGAATTTGAAAAATTTGCTTTCTTTCTTGGCTTTCCGTTAATGTTTATTGAAGGCATCCTAAAATTGAAAAGATCATTGCACTGCATTATAATGTAATGACAGAATAGTAGAATTCCTACCTCGTAAACCGATCCGCACATGTCTGCAAAAGTTGATTCTCTAATGGATCTTGTTTTAAAGTTGATAAATTAGTTGGTGTTTTACATTCCGCTTCTATGTATGAATCCAGTTGAGTTTTGCTTTTATCAAATCGAATATTTGAAATATGTTGGTCAGTAGAGACTAGAAATGGAATATTTGCAATATACGCAGGATGTACTTATTATTTAAAACCTACGAATCTTAAATGAAGTATTAAAAACCGATGGCCGAAAGTTGTAAATTCCCTGAAGTAGCTCTGGGTAAGATCCAATGTTATCTCCTTGTTCTTCAAAAGCGTAATTTGATTTTAACTCGCTGGAACACAATGATTTAGTTTCTCTATTAACTTTAAAAAAATGTACATACATGTTGTCAGAATTAGTTCTTTCGATTGCACTGACCAACTGCCGCACAAGATTTTCGTCACGAACAGAAAGTAAATTGTTTGATTCATTGGCAACCAACGTATGAAACAGGAGCGACTTATTTAAGGAAGCTGCACTCTGAAGCGAATCTGACACTGGTAGCTCGCTTAGCACTTGGTGTAGAATTTAAACGAAATATATACATACATACATAAATATATACCAATCAACATGTGGCTTAAAAATTACTTACAATCAGATGTGCTGGTTAAACCAGCCAATGTTGTTACAGGTACGGTCGGGATGTCGCGGTCCCCCATCTTTAATTTGGTTCGTTGAATTATTTTAAGTTGCAGAAATACTACTTATTTGGTATATTAATTTTTTTTTATGCGTAACACGCATACATACACATGTATAAAAGTCGACATGTCTGTATATAAAAAGTTTTTGTTATTAACATATACAAATAGTTTTGTCTTTATTTTTTGTGAAACCTCATTAATCAAAAGTTGCATGAAGACTTGCAAAAACCAATAAAATAATAACAACTTAGATAAATCTTTATATTACGCTGCACTCCTTACCAAAAGTACGATTGAGTACTTGTGTGTATTAAAAATTGCTACGTACGTAACAATTATTTATTTTTCAAAACAGTTGGTTAATTTTTAAGACTTGGCTTATTAACCTTATGAAAACATCCAAATATTTAAAATTCATTACTTTAGTTAGTTTTGCTTTTAGTTTGGATTAGTTTTCAAAAAAACATACAGAAGTTCAAAAAGTCAATAATTAAACGAAGCAGATGTTTATCACGAATGGTTACAAATTTCCAAAATTTAAAATTAAATACTTCTTAGATTGTTTTTCTTAGCAAATTGTAAAACTTGCGTGGTCTCTACTAAGTTTTATTTTATTTATTATACGAAAGACGAACTAACGAATATGGCGGATTTGCTAGTGAAGAGACTGACAGATGTAAAACATCGTTGCTTGAAATAAATGCGGTGACAAGTAGCTTTTATCTGTTAGTTTTACAGGGTTGGTTTCGATAATTGCTTATACCTTCTGCACAGCAAGTAACATTTTGTTATTTTAATTGTACATCGGTGAATATAACTTCAATATTTATAAATTTTTGTGACTGAAACTGCTTCTAATTGCTTTGCTTATTACCGTAGCAAATTAAATTCGTTAACAAAAGGAAACCTACCGAAATAAATACTTCCTTTAAAACGGCTTAATTTATCACATAAACCTGGCTATTAGATTTTATTTTTTCTCCGTCCGATTGGCGTATCGTGTGCTATAAGCAGGACAGGATTAAGGGGAGGGTTGTCTCCACCACATTTTGGGGGTCCCCACAAAAAATGCGAACAATTAGGTTTTTAAATTTTTCAAGAGTTTAAGTTGGCTAAATTAACGTGAAAGCGATTTGATATGCTTTTGATAATTTCCTAATAAATTTGTTATATGTACTCTCATAATATAAATAATTTCAGTCCACCAAAGGGCCCCCACATTCTTAATCCGGCCCTGATATTAGTCATACTGCAATGTTAATGCTGCCTACGAATAAATTTTTCATATACATACAATATATGTCATATATAAATCTTTTTCACAGTTTTTAAGGGGGACAACTAGTGTGACGGCCTAAATATAATATGGTTTTTGGGAGTTTTCATTAAAAAAAAACTACTTTATAAATTATTTCAAAATTTTCAGAATATATTTATATATGTTTTAAGAATATACAATAAAAATATTAAAGAAAAAAAATTTAATATTTTTTAAGTTACAGTCGATCTCCAACGGCGCTAAAAAAAAAATGGTCCTTAACTGTTGTAGTGATTCCGCCCTTACGTGGATGAAATTAAAAAAATCTCGTTAAACTAAATTATATTGTCTATACAATGACCTTCAATAAAATATATAAAAAATTGACAAAATGGCGGCGATTTAAAAAAAAAATCGAATTTTTACCAAGAATTTTGGTCGTTTTTGGCCTGACAAAATTCGATATTTGATCAGATAAAAATAATCAATAGGTCATTGTACGGAGAACTATATTTAGAACATGTAAAAAAAATGTGATAGTGATCGGCTCATTAATTTCTGAGTAATCACTGCAGCAAATTCGGAAAATGCGGTTTCGAGAAAACGCGTTTAAAAAAAAAAAAAAAATTTTTTTTTTAAATGTCACACTAGTTGTGCCCCTTAAACCTTGTAAAACTTACAAAAATAAATTATATATGCATGATATGGAGGTGAAAAGTGTTTGCTGTTCTGCAAGTAAATCAGCTTATTACCCTGTAGTGTGTACGCACCGCATCATATATTTTTGCATTTTTTTTTGTGCTGTTGTGTAAAGCATGCATTACAGATTATTCACACAGACATAAAGAAAACGCTTACCGCTGCCGAAAATATTCTTTAACAAAAAATACTAATATACAAAGATTTCCTAAGCCTTTCAGGAATACCGAATATCGAATGAAGATTTTATACCAATGAAAATTTGGGAGTCGAAACGACATTTTGCATTAATTGGTAGCACTTCTATTTCGCCGGGAGTACAATGAAGATGAAGCGTAAATTGGTTCATGCTGCAGTTAAGAAAAAACAGTAATTTTGATCTAAAAAATGTATTAAGTAAGTTAAGTTAACACAGTTAAGGAGTAACCCTGCAGTTCCAAAAGTGCCTTGTCGTGGATGACATGGACGACTACCCACTGATGCCAGTGTCCGAAGCACCTGGAGCCGCACTGATGTCATTTCATATAAAGTTGTTGCATGGCATTTAAGGATTTGACATGCATGTCGCTCTCGATGACCATTTTGTCCGAGTCATCGAGCGAGGCATCAATGGCTTATACGAATTTTGTATGGAGAAAATTCGTATAAGCTATTGATGCTTTCGTTGCTGACGTGGAGGCGATGTTGTCATCTATGCCAATGTCTAAAATGTCATCCCCAAATTCATATGAAAAACAATATATATATATATATTTTTTTATTTTATTAATTAATCTTATTTTGAAACATAAGAGATAAGTACATAAATAATATGAAATTAGAAAGTTTTTGTTTACCATTTATGTGGAATATTTGCAGGACATCGGCTGTTTTGCGTCCATCTAAGGTACAAAAAATATTTTTATTATTACATATTATATATGTATTACTTTTTTAATTTAAAGCAAACTTACCTTTCAAACGAATTTATCGTACATACAGGCTGAATCCTAAAAAGATTTAAATAAGTTTGTAGTAAAAGACATAATATTTTTGTAATCTTAACGACACTTACATGATTTTTAAACAATTCCGCTGCCCGTTGCGCAAATTAAGTAATTTCACAACTAACTGTCAACGCATAACGCAAAAGAATGAGCAGTTCAATTTTATTTTGCACCCTTTTAGTATACCCTTCTTTTTTGGGTATAACCGACCATAAATGACACGCGAGTTATATTATATCTATATTTGCAATCAATGTTATGTTATGGTTATCTTGGTTCAATAATTTAAATAATGTTGTACATATATATAAAATATATTATATATGTATATAACTTTATATATATATAATATTTAATATTTTAAGAACTTTAACATCAAAAGAGTATACATAAGTCGAGCGCCCCTTAGCCGTAGTTTCCATCGAAAACCAATTTTTTGTTTCTAACGGAGAATGACAACAGTGCAATTAGTTGTAAGAGTGAGAAAAAGACGGAAACTTAGGAATGTTCCTTTTCCTTTCCTACACATTGAATGCTTGAATGCCACGAGACACCAGGTGACAGCCAGAACTGCAGGGCTTATAAGTCGGCACTAATCTTGGGTGTTTTTCGGATCACCCTAGTGCCTTTATGTGCAGACTAAGCATAAGTCGCCTTTAGGGGCCGTGCCTGGTTCTTGGCATGGTGAGTTATGCTTCTTTTGCTAGTATCAGCATTTTTGTATGACAAGCAGTCGGCTTACAGCTTATAAGTTTCAGTTTGATTTTGATATGAATAAAGAGCGCATAGCTCTATTAAAACAACTCCAGCGAAACCTGTTTAATTATTAAATTGGTTATCGAGCCTGAAGGGCCGTTGATAACGGAGAGAAGTTCTCCCATCATATTTCTGCAATATTCAGAAACGGCGTTGAGCCCACCAACAGAGGAGGCCAGCGCATTGGGCGAAAACGTACGTTTTCGTTTTGGATGCTCCGGCTTTCACAAACTTTTTGTCATCGTTTCGTTATCGGTATGGTTCATTTTTCATCGTTTCTCACTGTTCAAACAGCTGACTTGTTTTTTAATTAAAAGTAAACAACGCGAAAAAATGCCTTTTAAGAAACTAAATTAATCATATTTATTAATAAAAAGCTTATTTAACTTTTCTTTACAAATATTTTTTTCTTCGTTTTCATTTTAAAAGTACAATTTTTAAGTGGTTGTTGTTGTTCCACTACAAGTACGGCAGCATTGACGTTAACTTTCGGCAATAGATTTATCGACCCCTTAGCAAAACGAAAGTTGTTGTTGCCGACGGCAAATATTTTATTTATGAATCAGAAAAAAATTATTTAAAAAATAAATACGAATTAGACTGAACTACTGATGGTGTGAAATGAACATCAATAGAGCAAGGAGTCAACTATTTTTTCCTTTTGCAATTAAGAACCGATTTGATGTAGAAAAAGGCATTTACTTTTCAAATGTCAAAAAAAACTTCCCCGTTTTTGAAAACGAAAAAGTCTTGCGATAGTGAAAACGGGAGCACCAATTCTCGTTTTTAAAAACGAAAACGAGAGAATCTTGTGAAAGTGAAAACCGGAGCCTGCCTGATAGAATGGCTGGCACCAGCCGTCCGCGAAATAATTTAGCCACTATCGACACGGACCGGGCTCACCGAAGGTGTAAGGAACTGCTTTTTCACTATTTGCTCGCTACGTAAAACGCGCGGCTAGCTCAGCTGAGTTTGTGTGTTCGTGGCACCAAATTTATTGTTACGTGATCCCGACAAAGAAATACACAGAAATTGGGTTAGATTTAGCAATAGGGAGATTAGTATAAGGTTGTCAAAAAAGTCTTGCGGTATTTTCGCTAGTTGGCGCTGAAAGCGCGTAGTTCTTGTTTTATTCGTCGCATCAGGTCATACTATACCTTTTTGGAAAGCTCATTTCACGCGTTAACACGTGTTTGATTGATTGTCTTTTCTTTTAAGTCGTTCGTTAGTTATAGCGTCGCAATCATGAAGCAAAATAAAGAGAAAATACGGCATATTTTACAGTACTACTACGATAAAGGCAAAAATGCATCTCAAGCCGCCAATAAAATTTGTGCAGTTTATGGACCCGATACAGTTTCCATTTCCACCGCACAACGATGGTTTCGACGTTTTCGTTCTGGTGTAGAGGTGGTCGAAGATGCGTCACGCTCCGGAAGGCCTGTCGTCGAAAATTGCGATAAAATCGCTGAATTGGTCGAAAGAGACTGGCATAGTAGCAGCCGTAGCATCGGTCAAGAGCTGGGCATGAGTCATCAAACCGTTATTAACCATTAAGCACAAGTCTCACTCCACCACTTTTCGGTCAGGACTTCGTCGGCCTGGCCCTCGACAGGTCCTCACTCTCGTGTGGACCGACGCCGGGTACCTTTCGCACAACTCCCTTGGATTTTCGTCGGCTGGCTCTCAGCAGGTCCTCACTCTCGTGTGACCCGACGCCGGGTACCTCTCGCACAACATCCACTGCTAAGACTCCACCAATTTCGTCGGTCTTGAGACTCGTAGACGCGCCCTATAACTTACCTTGCACCCTCGGGATCTCAGCTTAGCAGTCTCAGCTTATGTAGACGTGACCCTCGTTGGGCTTCTTGACTCGGTTATCTTGGTCCGAATATATTGGCACTTGGTATTCACTTGGGTTTCACTAGTATTGGTACGGTATCCTGCACGGCATTCACTTGACTATCCCTCCAGCGT